TCCTCATGCTCTTTGCAGTCTGGAAAGCACTGTCCTAACCCCATCACCTCTGCCTTTTACCTGCCTGATTCTTATTTATTCTGTAAGAGAGTGGCTTTTAATATTTTAGGAGTGGTAGAAACCTTTGAGATGATGAATACCTTGGAACCTCTCTAGAAAAATGCATATAAGCCCAAAATTTGCATGCAATATGAGGTTTTAACCTCAAATTAAAACCTCCTTCAGCTCAGGTATTATCTTCTCCAGAAAATCTATCCTAACCCCTTACAGATTGGTTTGGTCTCCTTCTTTCATATTGTTTTACAGTATCATGTCCATTTCTCTATCATTGCATATACACATCATAATTATTTGTGTCTTCACCACTATATTGTGAGCTCCCTGAGAGCAGTGACTATCTTACTTATCTTTGTATCTCTAGCACCTAACACAGTACATAGAATTTATTACAAGAATTTTGAGTTTGAATGTTGCTGAAGAATAAACCATCTTTCACTTCATCTTTTCACTCTCCATAAATGTTAGCCATTCAGCAAACATTTATGGAGAGCCTGTTGTGTGCCAAGCATTGTGCTGGGTGCTGAGGATACAAAGGTTAACAAAACGAACATGGTCCTTGTCCTCATAGAGCTTATAATCTAATGTATGAAAAAATATTTAAATTAGACATTACAAAAACATGTGGTAAGTGCTTTGATAAGGAAAGTACAGGGTAGAATAGGATTATTATATAAAAAGAGCAATTTATCTTTGGGAGGACAGAGGAGGCCTTCCAGAGGGAATAATATATAAGTTAAGATCTATAGAATAAGTGGGAGAGGCTGGAAAGAAGTTCCTGTCAGAAGACAACATCTGCAGAGGTTTTGATATAAAAGAATGTGTGTCTAAAAATCCAAAGGAAGTTCCATGTAGCTGAAGATAAGATTTTGGTTGACAGGAGAGGCATAACAAGAGGCTGCAGTTATGTATGCTAAACCGTGCTGAAGAGTACACTTGCTCCTAAAGTCAGTAGGAAGGCAGAAAGAATTTTATTCGTGAAGTTTCTAGCCAATATATGAAGAAAAGAGGAGTTGACACAACTCTGACACAGAGTATGTGTGTATGTGTGTATATATAGAAGCTTCTGTTTACTAGTGGAAAACAAACCAGCTTTGTCAGCTATCATGTGGCTACTGTCTCTAATGCCAGTTTGAAATAAAACTGACAAAGGCGTGATCCTGCAAGCTCTTGGTTCTACACTGAGATGGAAACCACTTTATATAGATTAGGCAGGATGGCTGAGAATCTAAAAATCTCTCTGAAGGAAACACATATTAAAAATATTAGTCTTTCTACTACTCCCCTATTTTTTTTGTTTCGACTCCTTTCCCCTGAAGTTTTTAATTTTTAAAAAAACACTTTCAACAGATCATCTATAAGAAGCAAGTTTCACTGACTCCTTTTCTATGTGCTACCTTCTCTGGCTCATAAGATGATTATCATAAGATTACAGGAAAATATATACATATTTCCATTTTTGTCTAACTTAAAACATGTTTTATAACATGGATAATGTCAAAAATCAAAGAGCATTTAAACATCTACTTCCAGTGTTATGAGCTTTAATAAGTAGACCTTACAAGAGAGAATCTCATCTTTAATCTCTGAAATAAGTTAACTCTAGTTAGCAGATCTTTTGTCATAAAATAGTCTGTATAAGGCATTTCTCAAAAGAAGATCTATATTGACATTCTGTCTTCTTTCTCCTCCAGATACTTTTTTTTGGATTTGGATGGCTTTTCTTCATGCGCCAATTGTTTAAGGACTACGAGGTGAGAGTAAATCATTGTGTTATGCTTATACTAGATGAACTTAGATTGTTTTAAAATGGGACAAGAAATGGGCCTCCTTTAAAGAAAGGTTATGTTCATTTCTGTGACAGGAAGCTTTTGCCAAATGAGTACCGTATAACCATTAAATTGAAGAATATTAGGTTTAGTTGATTTAAAAGAGGGAAGAAAGGCAAGTCATGTATAGCTCAGAAGCTGGGAGCAGAGAATGTCATACCTTAGTCATATCAGGATATGCACCAATAGCAGATAGTTATTCTTTGGAGAGAATTTAATTTAATTTTTTTTTTCTGAATTTTATTTATAATGTCTCATAAGTGTTCCTTTTTGTTTGTCTGTCTATCCCTGAATTACCAATCTTACATTCTAAGTTAATACCAAAATCCCAAGGCTTGTCTGGTTCTTATCTTAAAGCCTTAGATTCAGAAAATCACCACCTGGACTGGACATTTCCTAATTAATCCTGCTCGTTTAGTAATATAAGGTCAGTGGTTATGGACGACTTTTTGGTCATTTCTCAATGTTCTCCATTAAACTTCCCTGGGGAGTTTGGGTCGCTGTCTGAAAGAGTCCAGGATTTTGGAGATTCTGTTCTGCTCAATACTTTAAGGCTTCACAGGGGAGGTTCCAGAACTAACTCAAGATCTGCAGTATTGAAGAACCCCTTTTGGCATTAGCCATTATGTGCAAATCTGTCATTTTTTCAGTGAATGTGCATCAGGAATTCTAAGTGCCACTTCTGACCCTGTCATTTCTTCTTCTTTTGCTTTAAGTTCTTCATTACAAGAGGATGTTGGTAATAGTGACCCATGACTCAAAAGTGCTACCTACTTTGATCTATGTCTTTAGCTCCAGTCGAGTTACAGTTGCAGTCCTGTTTCCAATAACTTAACTATTTCTTCCAAATAACTTTTCTGACTTGTAACTAGAAGGAGATTATCAATTCAATATTTGAAACAAGGAAATGACTTCTAGTCTCTGTTTGGCTTTTAACAGGTGCGTCAGTACGTTGTACAGGTGATTTTCTCTGTGACTTTTGCGTTTTCTTGCACCATGTTTGAGCTCATCATCTTTGAAATATTAGGAGTGTTGAATAGCAGGTAAGCAAGAGTACTAAAAAACTCACCTCTTGAAGAGTTCTTTGCTACTTTCTTTATGGTGGAAGAGTTACCTGGATCTTATAGCTGAAAAAATCTATCACATATATACTTTAGTCTCAGTAACTGCAAGGATCACAGCAAATATGGGTCCTGGCCACCTAGTAACTGGTTTAGCAAAGATCATGAGATACCAGGGAAAAAAAAGTCTCACTATTAGCTCTGAAGAACTCATTGAGAGTGAAGCTGTGAGAGCTTGGGTACCTGGACTTCACTTCTAGAAGCTTTATTTTTCTCGGGGTATTTTCTGACTGAATCCCAGTAATGGCCCTTCACATTGTTCTGCTGATTGAAAGTCTCTACCTGAAAAAATGAGAATTCCTCAGAGCTATTTAAGGACCTCTCTGAAGACTAAACTCCAGTTCTTACTAACTTAGTTACTTTATTGATTTTACAGGCATGGTCAAGTTTAAATTTAGAGTGTTTTTTAAAACATTTTTTAAAAGTAATTTTGTACTGTCCTCCAAATAACAGACCTGTTAATTAGGCAGTCTATCTAAAATACTTCTTACTTGTTAAGCTTCAAGCTTGAGTAATTTTAGGTCAGTATTTGTCTATGGAGTTCATCAGCTATGTTATATAGACTTTTGCTGTACTTTCTTATTACCAAATGGAAGAATTTTAAGAATATAGTGGCCTTTCACTCTGTAGTCAGTAATCAGGGCTGAGTTAAACTGTATAAGATCATTGTAGACCCCTGACACTTGAGACTTAAAGAGAGACTGTACTCTCAAACCTGTTTTTGATAATCAGTTGGAAAAAAATTAAAATTAAAAAAAAAAAAAACCCTTACAGTAGAGATGGTTAATCACAAAATGTTGAAAAGTGAAAATTAGAGAAAGAGAATCAGACTTGATAATTATGGCCTCTTGATAGATGAATTAATAACGTGTAGTATAGTAAAACAGGAATATGTTCTGACTCTCCTACTTTTAAACTTGTTCTTTAATAATCCCAACTTTTTTTTTAGATGAGCCAGATATAGATTTTATGAGTAAAGAGAATCTGCAAGTGTTAACTTACATGCTGGCTATTAAATTTTATTATCACACCCTGGATGTTTCATGGCTATCTAAGCAGAGGTTGGCAAACTTTTTTCTGTAAAGGGCCAGATAGTTAATATTTTAGGTTTCTGGCCTATACGGTTTCCATGGCAACTACTCAGCTCTGCAGTTGTGGAGCGAAAGCAACTGTAGGCAATATGTAAACAAATGGGCATGGGTATGCTTCAGTAAAACTTCATTTGTAAAAACAGGTGGCTACGAGGCCATAATTTGTTGACCACTGATCTAAATACTGATAGGAAGGACTATGACTCAAATATTCTACAACCATAGTGTTGTTTTTGGTAGATGATGTCCCCCAACTTTTAACTTATAATTAATCTCATATAGTAAGAAACATCATACTGTGGTGTGTATTTCTTAAATTTCTTAAGTAGTTTATCTTTAAGACTTTAGGAAGTAGCATTGCTAAAATCTGGTTCTTCTTTGGGTGTTTTTTGGGGGGATAAGGTTTGTTTAGGGTGAGACATGTCTTCAGTTACACCTAATTTTTATGCTAACATTTGGCCCAACTAGGAACAGAAGTATATATGTGTACATTGACTGGATTCAGAATAGTTTTCAAAAGAGAATCTTACCCCTGACCAAAGGTATTCCTTTGACTTACCTCCGAGCTGAGGTTGTATGGCCTCCTATTCAAACAAATAATCTTTTTAAGATCCTTAATTTTTTCAAGAAGAATATTACTTTACCTTCAGCTCAAAAGACTAGCTAAAACATGTGGTTCACTTTTAACTGACAGTATGGGTTACACTTGTCATTTCAAACCCACTGCCTCCCAGTGTCTTTCAGAAGCTTAGCTGAAATACTATGTAGGATTGCCTGGAGGATGTACAACTTGTTTAATTCTCTAGATGCTCTAAAGTGAGTTAATCCAGATGAGCAAAAAGCTGTCAATATATCTAAGCTAAATGGTATTGGCTTCCTGTAGGGTAGCCTTTACTAAATGGCTTTTTATTTTATGATGCCTGCAATCTGTACGAGGGGAACAATAAGAAACAGCCCTATGAAACTCATTGATATGTCTGTTGAAAGGATGTTGTTGGGCACATTGTTAATTGCCCTCATGTTTTCTTCTTTATGAAATCTTTGCAGAAATTTCATTGTAGTCTTGGTAATAACTCAGTAGTAATAAATCAGAAATAGTTATACTTCCTTTGAGCAATTGGTTTATTGTTTTCTTACAGACACTATGATTTTATCTAACTGATCAAATTTTCTGTTCCACATTGACCCTTAGGAAGCTTAAAGCTAAATTTATAATCTACCTATAATAAGTTTCTAGAATTCTATTCTTTTTTTTTTTAAGAACTCTATTTCATAATAGCCATCAGGCCTGGCCCAATATTTTGCCTATCTTTTACCATTGTTGTTCCTTCCTTTCATATTTCCTTATTTATTTCATCATCTTGTATTTCAGATATCATTATAAGTCACTTAACTGCTTAACTCTTTTTGAAACAAGGCCTAAGTAAGTTTAAAATCATTCAATACAGAGGACACCATCAAGAAAGTAAACAGACATCCCAAGAATGGAAGAAATTTTTTGTAGATCACTTGTCTAATAAAGGACTTGTATCTAAAATATATGAAGAGCTCTTACAATTCAATAATAAAAAGAAAACAAAACTAAAAAATGGATCTGAATAGACATTTCTCCAAAGATGATAGACAAATGACTGATCAACACATTAAAAGATGCTCATCATCATCATCAGCCATCAGGGAAATGCAAATCAAAACCACAGTGAGATACACTTCACTCCTACTAGGATGGCTATAACCAAAAAGACAGACAGTAACAAGTGTTGACAAGACTGAGAAACTGGAATCTTCATACACTGTTGGGGAAAATGTAAAATGATGCAACCATGTTGGGAAATAGTGGCAGTGCCTCAAAAGATTAAATATAGATTTATCATATGACCTGGCAATTCCACTCCATTTCTACCTGAAGAGAAATGATACATATGTCCACACCAAAACTTGTACACAAATGTTAATAGCATTGCTATTTATAATGGGTAAAAGTTAAAACAACCCAAATGTATATCACCTAATGAATGGATAAACAAAATGTGGTATATCCATACAACAGATGAATATTATTTAACCGTAAAAAGGAATGAATTATTGATAGATACTACAACATGGATGAACCTTGCAAACATACTAAGTGAGTGAAGCCAGTTACAAAAGACTATAGTATATGACTCCATTTATATGAAATGTCCAGAATAGGCAAAATTCATACAAACAGAAAGTGCATTGTTGATTTCCTAGGGCTGGGGAGGTTGGGGAGAAATGGGGAGTAACTGCTAATGAGTGCAGTGTTTCTTTATGGAGTAATAAAAATATTCTAAAATTGATTGTGGTGATGACTTCACAACTCTGAATATATTAAAAACCATTGGATTGTACACTTTAAATGGGTAAAACTTATGAAAGGTAAAAGTGCTAAAAAATTTTAATAAATGCATTTTATAAACAGTAAAAAAAAGTAGTCATGCAAATCAGATGTTTTATTATATCAAGGGTACAAAAGAAGTATTTCTGAGTCTTTATAGCCTATGTTACTATTATGATTTATTTTCCTTTAATTCTTATATTGCAGTAAGATTCCTAATGGTGAATGAAACAATAGTTATTATACCAGTAATGGTATATGTTGATATATGTTATGGCATACATTGCCTATGAATATAGCTAAAGCATTAACATTCTTATTTTAATAAGTAAAATTCTAAGGAGGTTAAGATGATCATTTATAACTTTCAGAAATTTGTATTTTTTAGTTTCTACAAATTAGATGATAGTAGCAGCCTCGTTGTCTAATTAGATGAGACGTATTCAGTATTGAGTGCAAAAGAGCAAGAGTTCCTCTGGAAGACTAAAGAGAATGAAAGTTGCTGCCCTCTCCCCCTTCCAGTCATATTCTTTGACAATTATTTCAGCTCCCGTTATTTTCACTGGAAAATGAACCTGTGTGTAATTCTGCTGATCCTGGTTTTCATGGTGCCTTTTTACATTGGCTATTTTATCGTGAGCAATATCCGACTATGTGAGTATTTTACCCTTACATATGAGCACATGGATTGAGATGGGTATTCTTGGGGATTGAGGTTTTAGACAGCTTCGTTTCTACATTAACTTTCAGTAGCTACTGCTATTTGAGGATATCTTACATACAGCATCTTTAAAAGGTTGGCACAAAATAAATATTGAATGAATGATTAGGTTATTTGTCCTGCTTTATTCTGTTTCTACTTATTAATGTCTCCTTTAACTTAACCCACATTTTAATTTCAGCCAAATTTCTGTTATGGTGGTAAGGATGCTTTCACTAAAATTGTGTTATTCCATCACTCATTTACCAAGTGAACAAGCCAGCCAAACATTAATTAGCATGATCTCATATTTTTAAGTAGAGCAAGCTCTTTAACATATACCTCTTTTCCTTAACAGTCTTATTTCTTCTGTCTTAGTGCATAAACAGCGACTGCTTTTTTCCTGTCTCTTATGGTTGACCTTTATGTATTTCTTCTGGAAACTAGGAGATCCTTTTCCCATTCTCAGCCCAAAACATGGTGAGTGCATATTTAGGGGAAAGAGGGGACAAAGGATTATTTAATTTTGAGAAAAAAATAATTTTTAAAACTTCTCATTGTGGGAAGTATAGCAAGTTATTTCTCTAAAAATTTTCTGGTTTTGAGCCAGATTTTCTCCTTCATCCTAAGAGGTGTCACAAGCTGGTTTTGAAACAGTAGGAGTTTTTCACTTTGGTTTAGTGAATAAACTTCAAGAGTGTAAGGGACAGAAAAACGTGCCCTTAACTTAAATCTCCCAATATTGTATACAGAATTATGGGAATATATTTGTATGTGTATTTGGAGGTGAGTTATCAATAGCTTTTATCAGATTTCCAAAGGGGCCAGTGACCCAAAAGGTAAATAGCCACTGCTCAAGTGATGATAAAGATTGTCTTTAGGGAGTGTATGCATGTTTGGAAAAAGAGGTAACATAAAACATGCGCGATTAGTAGGTAAAGAAAAGCTTTCCAAGAATCAATGTCTCTCTTCTCACAAAAAAGTTCATTTTAGGGCCGGCCCGGTGGCGCACTGGAGAGTGCGCTGCTTGGGAGTGCGGCGGTGCTCCCGCCGAGGGTTCGGATCCCCTGTGGAGACCGGTTCCCGCTCACTGGCTGAGCGCGGTACGGGTGCAACACCGAGGGTTGCGATCCCGTTGCCGGTCCCCGGTACGGGCGCGACACCGAGGGTTGCGATCCCGTTACCGGTCAGTAAAAAAGACAAAAAGGAAAAAAAAAAAGTTCATTTTAAATACAAGAAATTGGGCAGAGCTATAGTTTCTAAGCTAGCAACAATGAACAAAATCCCTCGGCTAACAAGTCCTTGCAGAACTATTGCAGAAATATATGTGAATCTATCTAAAAAGATTAGAGACCCCAACTATAATAAATATACTGGAGCTTTCATACTGGAACTTTTTAAGAATATGTGTATCTGTTCATTCACTATCTTGCTGTATCTATCAGGGTTCTTATTGCAGAAAACAGAATCTAACTAGTTTAAAGCAGAAATTGTTTTATTGCAGGGTATCAGGCAATGTATAGACTTTCTAGGAAAGCAGGGACGCCAAGCTTAAATGCTGCATAGTAGAGAGAAACACCCAACTGTGCCACAGTACTGAACTAGAAATTGTCACCTGCCACTCGACCTGTGACGTCAGGGACCCAACAGTCCCTGTCCCAACTGCTGCAGCTATTCCAGCTCTTAAGTGCTGTCTCCACCCCTATATTGTTCACTTCTACATTTGAGGCCTCACATGGACATGGGTTTTTGGTGAAATCTAGCTAACATTTGGATCCTTGGCTTCAAGGAAGTCTGGGAAAATCTCTAGTACAAAAAGAAATGCTAGAAAAGGATTGGAATGAATGTTGAATGAACCACTGTTTAGGATCTGCCATACCTCCCATGTATCCTTCCTGTACTTATTGCCTGTAAGGGATTTCCGGGGTAGAGAGGTTATGAGACTCTCCTGCATTTGGGTGAGAGGAAACGTGTAGTTTTAAAAAGCATATGCAACCTCATAAATAACTGTATATTTGAAAAATAAAAATAGCTGTTTTAAAATTTCAAATAATATTGAAGAAGACAGAAAAGATAACACTAGTGTACCGAAAACATTCAAATGCTTAACATGACATATAAGACCTTCCGTGGCCTGGCTACTGCTTTCTTTCTCTGTGTTCTGTTCTCCAGTCTTACTAAATTACTTGAAGTTTCTAGAACTGTTCTGTCAGCCTGGACAATTTTCACCCCTTGTCCACCTGGAAAATACTTACTTACTCTTTCAAGATTTAACACTTGTCAATTCATCTAAGAAGATTTTCCTGGCCATCATTAGGAGATATTAATTGCTCCCACTTCAACGTACTTATACAAGTATCACCTATAAAACTTATAATTACATGTTTCCTTTTCTGACTTCCTCATTAACCTGTGGGTTCCCTAAGATCAGAAACTACATCCTATTTGTCTTTGTATCCCTAGTGCGTGCGTAGTGTGAAACCTAGCGTACAACAAGTGTTTAATACATGTTTATTGAATCAGTGAGTGGGGGAAAAAAATTGAGTCTCTCCAAGGTGGTAGATGAGTTCAAGAATTTTACACTATGGATAGGAATTTAGGATTTGCTAATGTAATCAGCATGCTCATGACAGTGTAGGGAAAGATTTGAAGTAGAAAGCCCTGATAGTACAGCTTTCATATAAACCTACTTCAGATATACCCAAAGAGAGACAAATTTATTTGCAATGTTAGAAGTCAGGGAGAAGAGTTATAAAATGCCCCCAGGGATGCTGACAGTGCCAGCACAAGCTCAGTACAAAGATCTGACTGACACTTTTCTCCACCTTTCTTCTTCTGAGCAGTCAGCTCACATGACCAGTGCAGCCAGGCCGTGCCAGAGGGAGGATGAAGAACATTATGTCTATAGTAACTTTCATCTATCCCTTTTCTAAATTCTGTGGAAATATTCTGAAAAGAATACTGAGGGGGAAAACTAAGGAGATGGTTTTGGTTTTAGTCTTTTCTTCTCCCTCCAATAAATAGCATTTCAGTTTTACGTCTGAATGTTCAGGTGTCTGAATTTATTTAACCCTCTAAGAGAAGTAAGTAAGAAGAAAAGTTTAGGCAGTAACCAAGAAGCAGCCAGCTTGTGCTGCCTTCTCAGAGCTTTCCCAGGACTGTCCTACCAACCTAAGAAAGCATAGAAAGCTAAAAGGAATCTGTGTGAGCAGATGGCAAAGGTGAGATGGTCTTCTGCAAGTCATCTTATTCATCCGAATTTCCATTCATTAACTGATAAACAAGGATAATAATGACTGACTCTTACTTTACAGAAATGCTGAGTATCTCCAAAATACTTCAAAACCAGAAAAACGATATTTTTAAAAAAACACCACATTAAAGGGAATAAAAGTAGAGGGGGCATTTTTCCAGTTATTATTGAGTGATATTATGTACCCACATTCAACAAACATTTGTTGAACGTCTTCTATGTGCCAGGCAGTAAGGAAAACAAAGATCAATAAGACATG